TAGACCCAGCAGCCTCTCCCCTCACCAACCCACCCTGGCTTTCTAGTGCCTCCCTGGTCTCTCCCAAACAGGGAGGTGTGTCCTGCCTGGTGACCCAGCACTGAGCCAGGCAGAGCATGCTCCCGCCCAGACGTTACCTCCAGCTCCAGGAACAGTTTCCAGTTCTCCTCCCATTTCTGGACAGCCTCAAACAGATCTTTGTGCGCTTCATAGTAGCTCTTCATCTTCTCCACCTCAGCATCGTGGAGCTCGAGCAGGGTCTCCGTGTAGTCCTCTGGAGAGGAGACAACAGCACTTTCAGGAGGCAGCCGGAATCCCCACGACACTGCAAGCCGAGGGCGGCCCTTCTCAGCAGCCTGCAGCTCCCACAGGGGACTCAACGAGCAGGAAGAGCCAGCACCCACCATCGTAATAGGGGCTGAAGCCTTCCCTCTGCTCCTGGCTGTAGAAGCATTTGTCCCAGTAGTCGGCCAGCTCTGCCCGGATTGCCTGAATCACAGATTTCATGTTCTGCAGCTTCATCTCCTCCAGACGGTCCACTTCCAGCTGCAGCTGCCAACAAGAGGAGAGCACAGACTCAGAGAAGGCAGCACGAGAAGAGCAGAACAGGATTTATTTTCCACACAAGCCACTTTCTAAAATGAGACAGTTGCCAGCACCAGCTCCCAGCTCCTCCACCCGCGAGGGCAGGATGTGACCTGCTCACCTCGCACCAGACTGCTGGAAGCATCTTCCTCTGCTCTGGCTGAGCAAACAGGAATGCGAAACCCAGAGCTGCTGCTCCCCTGCCCTCCCCCTCCAAGGGCCCAGGAGGATCCTTACAGCTTTCCTGGTTTTGGCTCTGGACCCAGCCAGGTGCACTGCAGAGGCCTCTCTCTCCTCTGCAGGGATCTGCAGCCTTTCCCAGAGCGCAGTGATCCTGGAGCGCAGCTCTGTGCACACAGCTTCGTTCAGGGACCGCCGGGCCTCCAGCTGCGGGGGGAGAGCACGGGGTCAGCGCCAGCACAGCCCGGCCCCAGAGGGCTCGAGGAGGCCGTGTCCTCTGCAAAGCCCCCCGCTCCTCTTCCAAGATCTCCCTGCAGAAGCTCCCAGCAGGATGTTCTAACGCACAGCCCTGCTGGAAGCCGAGCAGTTGCTCTTTAGATGGCGCTGCCAGGAGCCACCGACCGCTGCCTCCGC